AGAGTATTACTAACATTGCACAGTGTGTTATTAAAGTAATTGTAAATAAATTAGAGTTTGTGGGTTTAAAGCTGGCCCCTGAGAAAACGGAATATGTTTTAATGAAAAGTAGGAAAAATAGAGGAGAGTTTGAAATTAATGTGGCAAGACATGTTGTAAAATCTGGTAGCTCACTCAAATACTTGGGTGTAATGATTGGTAGAGACCTGAAGTGGGGAGCTCATGTCGAATATATATACATTAAGGTGCAGAAAACCGTAAGTGCATTGCACAGAATAATGAGTTCGACCTATGGGCCAAGTACGGAGAAAAGAAAGCTGATAGGTTCGGTAGTCTTCTCGCAGATGCTGTACGCCTGCAAAGCTTGGAGTGGGGCGTTTGAGATAAAAAAACACAAACAAAAGCTGACGAGAATACAAAGACAGATCCTGATAAGAGTTGTCAGTGCTTACAGAACCGTCTCTACGGAATCACTGTTGGTGATTGCAAACTCTTTTCCAATTGAGTTAATGGCAAAAAGACGAATGTTCACATGGACAACAAAAGAAGAAGACATCATGGAGGAGGAAATAATGAAGGAATGGAACAGTGGATGAGCCAAGTATTCCGGAAAAGCACAATGGACGAAAAGAATAATTCCGAAAGTTAAAACATGGGTTACTAGGCAATGGGGAGAAATAAATTATTATATGTGTCAATTTTTGAGTGGTCATGGCTGTTTTAAAGCCTACCTTCACAAACACAAGAGAAGAGAGGAAGAAATGTGCGTTTTTTTTATGAAAGATGGAAAGAAATACGTGAGAATGAATACTAGTCATGTTAGAGAGTGAAGAAGAACGGAAGAAGACTGTGGAAGAGTTTGTAAAGGAGGTCATTGTGACGAAGGAAAGGGAGGACAGAGGAACGGAGAGCAACGGAGATGGTACGATGGGAGAGGGAATAGGGTAAGAGGGGCGGCTTCATCAAGAAAGCCAATCTAAGACCAGGCCGACCAAGCAGTGCGGCTGAACGACGAGGAGGAACTCGAAGTTTTTCCGGCATGAGAAAGAGAGAGAGAGAGACGATCAAGAGGGGCGTCGTGTTCACAACACTCCGAAGACAGCTCGTGCGAGAGTTAATAAAATAATAAATAATAATTTATTGAGCCAAATTAGAAAAAACAAAATACAATAATAAGGAAAAGTACAATAATATTAAACTTAAATTATAGCTCAAAGGGTGCAAGGGCAGAAAAGGCAAAACAATGCCACTGATTTTACTTGCACCTAATGAGAACAGCAGCAGAAAATAAAATAAAAGTTAAATCAAATCAAAACTGAGCAGTATCAATGAAAATGAGATAATAAAAATAAAAACAAAAATAAAAACAAGTAGTTAGGATTATTAAATTACCAAAAGAATCAAAAGCAACATTATATCAATTATCACAAAAACCGATCAAACACCCTCTCGCGCAAAACAATAGATCTAAACAACTGAACCGAGCGGGCACACCTCGCAGAACTGGGAATCGCATTCCAAAAACGAGCTACTTGATAGGAAAACGAGCACTGAAATTTTGACGATCTATGCAGCGGAACTGTAATAGAAAATCCATGCCTAAGATTCAAATTGTGTACATCAGTTCTGAAGGTAATCTTGCGAGAAAGATAAGGAGGTTTACCAGAAATAATAATCCCATGAATAAAAGACAAGTAATGAAAAACAAATCTCTGTCGCATATTCAGCCAACCACAATTCTGAAGAGCTTGTGAGACGTGATCACCTCTCCTCAATTTATAAATAAAGCGAAGACACGAATTCTGCACGACCTGAATTCTTCGCAAACTCTCAAAAGATAGACATGGACCAAATACAACGTTACAATAATTAAAGTGAGACAAAACTAGAGCATCACAGAGAAGGCGTTTGAGCTTTATCGACAAAAACATTTTACTAAAATAGAGGCTTCTAAGGGACCCATACGCGCGCCTACATATCAACCTAATGTGATCACCAAAAGTAAGCCTATCATCAATGACAACACCCAAACTCTTGACCGAGTCCACCACTCTTAATTGCTCCCCTAGCATACTAATGTTAATGTCATTTTTATTAACAGATAAGTTACCCTTTTTAGTAAATAAGATGCATTGGGTCTTGTCAGGATTGATCACAAGAGCATGCCTTTGTATCTCCACACATAAGTGACCCAATTCCTCAGTAATTCTGTCACATGCATGAGGCAACTCATCAGGTATGAGGTCGAAATACAGCTGTGTATCATCCGCATATAAGTGATAGGAACATAAGGTTAATTTTGAAAATAAATTGCTGGTGAATATACTAAATAAAAGTGGACCCAAAATAGAACCTTGCGGTACACCTGCTACAATTGTAGAAGGATCAGAACAAACGGATTTAACCTTAACCGATTGCATCCTGTTAGAAAGATAGCTCCGAAACAAGGAAACAGCACAATCAGAAACACCAATAAACCTCAGAATAGCCAACAAAAGGTTATGATTCAAAATATCAAATGCCTTGCTGAAATCAAGAAGCACAAGTACAGTAGATCTTCCCCCATCCAGAGCTCTAAAAACGTCATCTGTCAGATCAAGAAGTGCCGTGGCACAGCTATACTGTCGCCTAAAGCCAGATTGTTTCTGAGGTAAAATATGATTAGAATTTAAAAAGGATTGTAGTTGTTCCGCCATAATCCTCTCCAACACTTTGGAAAGAACCGGGAGGATGGTAATGGGCCTCAGATCTTTAAACTCCTTAACTGGATTGGCTTTAGGAACAGGAGTCACCAAACCAAACTTCCACGCACTCGGGTAAACTGACTCTTTCAAGCAGAAATTAATTATATGGCAAAGAACACTCAAAATACGAGGACAGCACAACCTAACCATATCCAGGGAAATTCCATCAGAACCAACACTAGTGGACTTAAATGAAAGTAACATTCGCTCAACAAATTCCACAGAGACGTCACTGAAAGTAAAAGTAGTACCTTCAGGATTTAATCTATAACTATCATAAAAATGTAATAAATCAGCGTCAGGTTCAACAACAACACCACCAATAGCTTCAGAAAAAAACAAATTAATATTGTCCGGATCGGCCAGGTGAGGAGGTAAATCTGATAGTTCTAGTTTTACACTAGCACTGTCACTAGAACTAACACTAAGCCTAGAAGTAGAATAATTTGGGTTTAGCCGTCTTCAGAGACGTGCTTCACTAGTATTAGTCCTAGTTTTGCGTTAACACTGTCACTGGAACTAACACTAGACCTAGAATCATTCGGGTTTAGCCGCACGTCTCTCAAGACGGCTAAACCCTAATGATTCTAGAATGATTCTAGGTCTAGTGTTAGTTCTAGTTTTGCACTAGTATTGTCACTAGAACTAACATAAAAGGTAGAACTAGAATCATTCGAGTTTAGCCGTTTTGAGAGACGTGCGGTTAAACCCGAATGATTCTGGTTCTAGATCTAGTGATAGTTCTAATTTTGCACTAACACTGTCACTAGAACTAACACTAAGCCTAGAAGTAGAATCATTTGAGTTTAGCCGTTTTGAGAGACGTGCGGCTAAATCCGAATGATTCTAGTTCTAGGTTTAGTGTAAATTCTTTGGCTATAACGGACACTCTCTTTTCCGTATTAATCCGTTATATCAAGGTTTTACTGTATTAAAAAATCAAAAATAATTTGAAATTTACCTCATTACAATTAATTAATAATTCGCTTTGGGTTGAAGAATTCGCATTAATACCTTCAATCATTTTACAAAAATTTGCATCTTTATCTTCGGGATTATTTAATTTATAATCGCTTAATATAGTAAAAATTTGTGGTAACCACAACCTTAAACTATTCATACTCATTATAAACCCAACTTCAATTATACCGATTAACAAGAAATTCCATAAATAAATTCTCGAAAATAACGGTTTGATCTGTTTAAATCCATTTTTTAAAGCATCAATCGAAGATTTATTTATAACCCTTTTATCTTCATTAATAAGCATTTTAATTGGATAATCATCAATGCTTTTTCCCGTATTTAAATGGAAGATTTTTCGAAACACTTTTAAAGCTTCGTCGTTTCTCCCAGCAGTCATCAAATATTTTGGACTCTCCGGGATAAAAAAATGTCCAATCGAACTGATTATACAAGGAAACGAGCTGATTATTATAAAAAAGTTCCACGATTTTAACTGAAACGTTCCATTTAAAAATTTTACGTTCCAATTTAATGGTATTATCAACCACGCTAATAACGGCATGGTCATATTTGCCAAACCATAAATAAGTCCAATAAAAAGAACAACTTGGGCACGATATTTCGACGAATGATATTCGGATAAAACGGAAGTTAATGTTACAAAAGGTCCATTAACTCTGTTAAAAAAGAAAATTTAAAACGATTAAATAATTTTTTTATATTTACTTACATAAATCCAGTGAGAAATTTTAAAACCACCAACATTTCGTAGTATTGTGAAAACCCTGCTAAGATAATTAAAAAGGCGTTTATCGCGTAACAAGAAACAATAATTTTCTTTCTTCCTAAAGTATCAGCTAGAAAACCCCAAAGCAAAGCACTCGGAACCATCCCTAAATAAGAAATACTATTTAAAAGTCCAGCTTGTTCTAAAGTTATTTGTAAATCGCATCGAGCCACTGGAATAACGTAGGACATCGTTGTGCTATCGAAATTAGTCGCAAAGTAACTTGGAATTGCTAAAAGTAGAAGGACGATATTAAATTTTCCAAATTCCGCTGAAGAAATTGCTTTTTCAAAATCAGCTGGTTCTAAAAATGAAAAAGTAATAAATATATTAAAAAAAATTGTGTTAAAATTACCTTCATAATTTATAATTTCTTTGATAGACTTTGTTTTTGATTTCATCTTTGCTTCATTCAATGTTAAACTCCTTAATTTACTCGTTATTAAATAATTATACGAAAAAGATAAGAATAATTTTATTTAATTTTCCATGTTAATTTTAGAAAACTCGGAAACACAAAGTGTATTGTCTGGATAACATTGTTTTTAAAAATATTTTTTAATTTTATTAAAAAACAAATTACAATTAACAATAGAGAAAATAAAGAATAATAACATAATTTACACTTTATTATTTCTCGCTTTAAAATCAATCCACAATCCCGATTTAGGTATTGCCATAACAACAAACGGGTTCAAATCAAAAGGATTTCCGGTTTTTGGGTTAACACTAATTTCGAATTCTTTTATAATAGCAATCGTGGATATTTTCATTAAATAAACGGCCAATTTCATTCCGGCACAATATCTTTTTCCAATTCCAAAAGGAATATAAGTCCCTTTTATAATTTTGTTTTTATTTTTTTCGGAAAATCGTTCCGGAATAAATTCTTGAGCGTATTTAAAATATCTTTCATCGTGATGCATTCCAATAACTGAAGCAGCAATTGACATTCCCGGTTCTACACTAACAATTTGATCTTGATCATTTTTCACTTTAAATTCGAAATAACCAGTACATCTTTTCATATTGATTTGAACAGCTGGATATAATCTCAATGTTTCTACAAAGAAATATTTTTATTTGTTATGGTCTTATGATATTATAGTCTTATGTCGATCTGGTATAAATGTAGCGTCTCGGCCACAAGCGACCTCGACTTATTACAACGAACGTGGTCGAACTTGATCGCGCACCAAACGAACCTCTGCTAAGTGCCCCCGGAAATTGTACTCAAAATTTTCCAAATTTGCGCGTACACGAGGAAATGTCTTAGCTATAAGTGGTCCGATTGTAAATCACGTATGTAATGGAGGGGGCGATATTGATGCGAAGTTTGCGTAGTAAGATTTTTGAGCTAGAGGCTTTTCTTATAGATAAAAAATGTAGTATTTTATGCCTAAACGAGCATTGGATAAATGAAAATGAATCTAACATTGTAAAGATAAGTGGTTTTAAAATAGTTTCTGGTTTTTGTAGATTGCTGCAGTCGCATGGTGGAGTCGCTATTTATACTAGAGAAACAGTATCCCTCAGGTCCTTGTCGTTTAATATTGTGAGTTACTCGAATGAGCTGGACTTTGAGGTTCTCCTCGGGGTAGTTTTGACTCTTTTATGACGGGAATGGACATGTTATTGAGCAAACTAATTTTGAATAGGAATATTGTCCTGACCGGCGATTTTAATGTACATTTTCATAAAGTATGTAGAGAGGCAGAGATGCTCTTCCTTATGCAGATCTTATGGCATGGTCAGGACAAATTATGAGAATACTAGAAACGATGCATGCTTTTTCTATTTTCACAAATATTCACAAGTGTCTTTATCTGTCCAGTATTGTTGATCCATGCTTGTCCGACCACTTGGCTATTTCTTTTAAATGTATAGATCCGGTAGAGCCTTCAGTTGAAAAAAAAATAACAACCTACAGACCTGTTACAAAGCTTGGTCTATTTACTTTCTATAATAATGTTGCAAAGATAAACTTTGAATTTGTAGATTGCGTTGTAATGGAGATTAGTGACAAGTTTTCCATGTTTATACAAGAAATCACAGCTGCTTTAAATGCTAGTTTTCCAGTTAAAACAAAAATATCGAATACTCATTCTGAACTAAATTTGCATTGGTTCAATGATGACATTAAATATCTTAGAGAGAAGTTATAGACACTAAATGATTTTCATGTGCGTTACCCTGAACTTGTTGGGCGGCACGATATACAAAGGCATAGGAGTCTTTTTAATGTCGTGAAACTTAGTAGCAACAAATTATCAAATAAATCTACCATCGATGAAAATGTTAATGCAGATGATTTCGACAGGTTTTTTAGCAACGTTGTTGAGAGTATTATTTCACCCATCTCGATTAATGTGAGAGATGCTAAAACACGCAGCTATGACAATCAACCTGAGGGTGCCGCCAGGGTTAAATTTAGGTTTGCGGAAGTGAGTTTTATCCAGCTACGTGAAGTTCTCTGTTCATTAAAAAATTCATCGAGTAAAGATGCCTATTCATTGAACGCTGCATTGGTGAGGACTGTTGTTGATCTTATAAATGTTCCTCTAAGTAAGTTGATTAATCAGTGCATCGTTTCCGAAACTTTTCCTTTCTGTCTCAAGGTCGCGAGAATTGGGCCTGTGCACAAATATTCAGGTTCCATCTGGGGTCCCGCAGGGCAGTCACCTTGGTACGCTACTTTTTACTACACTGTTGAATAATTCACGAGCACACCCTATATAATCTGAACTCGTGAAGATAAATCCATAATATTTGCGGAGTACAAAGGTTTACTGTAGACGAGTTTATTCAGGGAGTTTCGAGTTGTTCCGTCGCGGCATTGTTGACTGAGCTGCCCTTCCAAGTGGAACATTCCGTCGCTATGGAGACCGAAGTGGATGGAAAATACCGGTCGTTTTTAGTGTGGTGTGAGGGACCACATTGTTATCGTACTCTGTGCGCAATGGATGGGCGATCGCGTTACTTAAGCGAGTTTGAGCGAGGAATGTTTGTGGGTATGCACATTGAGGGTGTATCGTTCTGTGAAATTGCGCGTCGTCTCGAGCGGTCGTTATCGGCAGTGCAACGGGCATAGCGAGAATGGTCTGAGGTAGGACATAGGTACCTTCAGCCGCAGCCGGGACGGCCCTGCGCGTCCCAATCACACGAGGATCGCGCTCTTGTGCTCAGTGCTTTAGCGTGGGATGTGTCCTCCTCAAGGCAACTTGGAGCTGTTTGGCCACTGGCAGGGGAAGGCGCACTCACTACGCGAACAGTACGGCGACGTTTGGTAGATAGAGGACTGGCGCGCGCGTCGTGCGATACAGCGGATTGCAGTAACACCCAAGCACCGCAGCATACGTCACGAGTGGGTCGACGCTAGGCATTAGTAGGTTGCCGAGTAGAGGGACATTTTGTTTTTCGACGAATCAAGATTCGAATTGAGCACCGGTGATACGCGAATTTTAGTTCGTCGGAGCCGTGATGATCGTCTACTCGAGCAGTGTCTGCAAGAACGCCCTATCCACCGACAACCGAGCATTATGGTATGGGGTGCGATTACACATGGTGGACGTACACGTCTGCTGCGTGTATAGCAGACCATGACGGGTCAACGATACGTAGATGAGATGCTACGGCCCGTTGTGCTTCCCTACGTTCGGCGGCTCCCAGGTCTGCTATGCATCCACGACAAAGTACGACAGCACATCGGGCGTGTTGTGCAGACCTTTGTGGAAGAGCACCGTATACGAATGCTTCCATGGCTAGCTCGGATTCCGCATCTGAATCCGATCGAACATGTTTGGGACATGACTGGTCGGAGACTTCTACGTTATCCGGCTTCCTCGGCTAAAGTTGAGGAGCTATGGAGGCGAGTTGAGGTGGCATGACTTATAGACTCCATGCCACGTCGTGTAGCGATAGTACGCGAAGCTCATGGGGGATACTCTCGCTATTGATGTTTCTCCTCCCAGCAGAGTTGTGCCGTTCTCCATGTGAGAGTAAGTTACACTACTTTAGTACTACTCCTATACCAAATTTTATTGCGCGTTCAGATTATACAGGGTGTGCTCGTGAATTATTTCCAACAGTGTATCTCGGAATTCACCTTGATGCCAAACTTACATGGGATTCTTCATTTGATTAAAAGGTTAAATACCAGTATTTTTTTGATTCGTAGCTTAGTGAGAGTGGTATCGCCGAAGATGGCACTTGCTGCCTATTTTGTACATTTTTATTCTCATATGACGTACGGCATTTTGTGTTGGGGGTATTCTGCTCATACTTCGTTTGTCTTTCGTATTCAGCTAAGATGTGTGAGAGTTCTAAAAGGCATGGGTTTCGCGGATTGTTGCAGGGCAAAGTTTATTGAATTTGAAATTCTTACTTTTCCTTGTGCGTACATTTTCAATAGTTTACTGTTTATAAAGAATAACTTAAATGGTTACAGCAAAAATCGGGATTATCATTCTTATAATACCCGGAATAAAGGTGACCTTGTTTCAGATTTGACTCGAACGACAAGGGCTAGATATGGTGCAAATATTTACGGTTTAAAATTATATAACGCTTTACCAGAACGAGTGAGAAATTTAGAAGCACTGAAATTTAAAGTAGTATTAAAACTTGATAAGGCCTTTTACAGTGTGGATAAATTTCTAACCAGTGATTTTACTGAATTGATGTGACCATCTCGCCATTCACTGTTCGTTGTTTAACTAGTGCATATATCTATTATAATACATAATGTTTTTCCGTCATAACAAGAAACTATTGTGTTTGTCTAAATAATGTAGGTACATTTATATTTTGTATGTTCTGCTGATGTATGACTTGTGAAATAGCTTCGGCTGACATATCATCAATAAAGAATTATTATTATTATTATTAACCCGAGGCAGTACGTTGTTTGACACCAACCTTGTGTTGATGTAGCGCTTCGGCCGCAAGCGACCTTGACTTATTATAATGACCATAAGGTAAACTGAATTAAGCGAAATGAAAGAATTTTCACCATAAGCGAAGACACATTGTAAATACCATAAATAATAAAGTCATACTTTACCTGAAATAACACAATCTAAATAAGACATTTCTTGAATAGCATCAAACGTTATTTTATCATCATATTTTTTTAAAACTTCATCTATTTCAATTTGAAGTTTCTTTTGAACTCCTAAATGCGAAGCTAAAGAATATAAAACGTAACTTTCTTGGTTAGCTGTTGTTGGATCTAAAATAAACGAGAAAGCAAACGATAAAAGATTCATTTCATTACTCTTTTTATCGTTTTTTGTTAATTTTAAAATTTGGTCTATAATGTGGTTGTTCTTGATTTGATTGTCATATCGATATTTTGTTGCTATCTTTATAGTTTTCTTGACGTATTCAACAAATGATGCAGATATAATTCTAAAATTAAAAAAATATATAATTTATAATTTAAAATATTTTTTTTAAGTACTTTAAACGTAATAATTTGGCGAGATTTGGCGCAACTACCATAACGAATATCTTCAAACCAAATGTTATTGTTGGGTCCATAAATGTTTGAGACATTTGTCGAAACACAGCGTTATCATCTTTAAATGAGTTTCCTACAACTCCAAAAGCTGATAAAGCATTCGCATCGGCTACATATCTTGATGTTAAATCACGAGCTTCTAAAGTTTTATTTTTATGGATATGATCAATAAGATCTTTAGTACCTTCTACTAAAAAGGGCAATACTTGTTTTATCTAAAATAAAATATAAAGTGAATTTCACTTAAGATACAATATACAAAAATATATTTCCATAGAAACCAGGAAACTTTGTCCCACATAAAATGCGACATGTCAATATAATTTAAAATTACAGTAAAACCTCAATATAACGGATTAATACGGGGAAGGCAGTGTCCGTTATAGATCAATAAAAATATACAACTATCTAGCGCTTAATAACAAATAAAACTAGACTAACACTAGCACTAGAACTTAGCGCTAGTTAGCATAAAATATCACTGTTACATATTTTTATTGAACCAAAACTAGAACTAACACTAGAGCTAAACCCGAAACTTTTTAGTTGTAGGTCTAGTTTTAGTTCTAGTTTTAATTGTTATACAGCGCTAGACTGTTGTATATTCTTATTGAACTAAAAGTAGAACTAACACTGGACCAAGAACTAAAATCATTCGGCTTTAGCCGTTTTATGAGACGCACGGCTAAACCTGAATGTTTCTAGTTCTAGGTGTAATGTTAGTTCTAGTGAAAGTGTAAGTGTAAAACTAGAACTAACACTATACCTAGCACTAGAATCATTTGGGTTTAGCCGCACGTCTCAAAAGACGGCTAAACCCAAATGATTCTAGTTTTAAGTATACCGTTAGTTTTATGTAGTAATAGTGCTAGTTTAAAACTAGAACTAATACTAGACCTAGAACTAGAAACATTTGAGAAGCTTTGAAACTTTCTAGTTGTAGGTCTAGTGTGAGTTCTAGTTTTAATTGTTATACAGCGCTAGACTGCTGTATATTCTTATTGAACTAAAAGTAGAACTAATACTAGACCAAGAACTAGAATCATTCGGCTTTAGCCGTTTTATGAGACGCACGGCTAAACCCGAATGTTTCTAGTTCTAGGTCTAATGTTAGTTCTAGTGACAGTGTAAGTGTAAAATTAGAACTAACACTATACCTAGAACTAGAATCATTTGGGTTTAGCCGCACGTCTCAAAAGACGGCAAAACCCAAATCATTCCAGTTCTAGGTATAGTGTTAGTTCTAGTTTTACACTTACACTGCCAGTTCTAGGTCTAATGTTAGTTCTAGTGACAGTGTAAGTGTAAAACTAGAACTAACACTATACCTAGAACTAGAATCATTTGTGTTTAGTCGCACGTCTCAAAAGACGGCTAAACCCAAATGATTCTAGTTCTAGGTCTAATGTTAGTTCTAGTGACAGTGTAAGTGTAAAACTAGAACTAACACTATACCTAGAACTAGAATCATTTGGGTTTAGCCGCACGTCTCAAAAGACGGCTAAACCCGAATGATTCTAGTTCTAGGTATAGTGTTAGTTC